AATGTCCGAGAGTGGATGAGAACTGACGTTCTGATGCGTCATTGTTTGGTCTCGCAGGGATACATAATTGAGTACCATGTTGGTGCTATCGACGTTGAGTGGCCTCTGTCGGAAAAGATCTGAAGTACTACGCCTTCGGTGGTAAGGGGTAGGGGGTTTCTTACTGCTGCTTTCTTTCCTTTGATTTCGAGTCCTTTTCGTAAACCTACTTCAACTTTAAAATTCTTCCCTCCTGAATTTTGTTTCCAGTTCTGTTACGCCTCTGAAATAGATGTATATGACCAAACTGAATCTACATTACTTTCGAACAGTCCGGCCGTACCCCTATCGACAAGGACACGGGCATTATATAGCATATTCTTGCCGAAGTCAGGAGGAAATAGCTTCATCGATGAGCACAGAATCACAGCTCTTCACCCAACATCTGGATGCTTAGGCAAGGCGACCGGTATGTTGGATACCTACCTAGGTACCTACTCAAAAGGGCACAAGCAGTACACTCGGTCATTGGGAATGCCTACCTTTCTCTTCCTTCTTTAAATATCGAGCAGCACATGTCTTCTCTACAAGTAGGTACCTTCAACAGCATTCATCTTCCTCAATCTTTGCCTACCTTCAACCCCAACCCCATCTCCACTCAAGACATGTGCTTCACTGAGTATCAGTCCTAGTTCCCTTTCATATCTTTCCCTGTAGAAATCAGAACCATAATATACCGGTCAATCTAGACTCTACCCGTTAACCGCGGCCTCACCACCGTCCTCGAGTCCCTTGCACTTACTTGCTGCAAGATCCGTGACGAAGTACCCCACGAGTACATCACCCACATCCTCCCATTCACCCAGATTCACCTGGGCAGCAAACACAGAATTCTCCAGGGGCTCCAGGCGTCCTCCCTCCTCACCCAGCATGTAAAGCATATCAGCCTCCTCTAGGGCAGCTGCGACTGCGCCAGGGATAGGGATGTGGTTCAACGTGGGAATCACCCTGGGGGCCTTCGTTGGCTGTTGAAACTGCAGCAGCTGACGAGTTTGGAGTTGGTGTTTACCGACGCTCGGTACAATGCTATGCAACGGTTTACCAGGAGCGGGTTTGCGCTGCCGGTCCCGGCTGAGGAGGACTCGGATGATGAGGAGGATGGAGGCAATGACGAATTCATGGACTGGTTCTGCCTCGATTGCTGGGAACTACTAATGGGCTTGCCGCACACTTTGGAAAAAGTAGTTTTCAAGGTGTGGCGTGGCGCCGATGAGAACGGCGAGGCTGCTGTCCCTGTTGTCAGAGAGACCTGGGAGGTGATGAAGTGGTTTCGGAGGATGAAGGTTCTGGAAGAGAGATATCAGAGGAGACTGCATTTGAATGTTAAAGATGGAGTGGAAGATGCGGTGGTGGTGGTGGAAGAGGAAGTGGACGGTGTGGATGAACACCAGGTACCACTATATTTCTGCATTGCCCTGCCTAGCCCCTCCATCGGCTATTCCCTTTCTTCCTCGTTGCGCACCTCATCCAAAGTCAGACAAAAACTAGGTAACGAGCTAACGCGCCGTCATTCTAGGAACCGCCAACGTACCACATTGAGCACCACGTCGGCGATGTTGACGTTGAGTGGCCTCTGTCTGGCACAATCTGAAGTATCACAGGCCTTTCAAAAGAATTTCAATTTGGTTTTCCATCGGCATCGAGAAGTTCGCTCGCATTGCACAGGTACTGGTGAGGTCATTCCATCATTCAGGAGGTCCTCGTCCAGTTTTTGGAGAGTGGCTTCATCGACGAGCTCGAAACAACGCAAGCCTTTACCCAGATCTCAAGAACTCCATACCTACAATTAGACCAGTGATATCCTAAGCGCACAGCTCATTTTCTGAGGATATATAAGCATGTGTCACCTTGCGAAATTTGTTGGGTTCAAAATGACAAAAAAAATTTAAAAAAAAAAGAGAAAGGGGGGGAAGGCCCGACGATAAGGGACGACAACTATGTAAGTATCCCATTGAATCGATTGAAACTCTTTACGTGCATATGGAGATGCTCTACTTGATTTTCGTTCTCTTATTCAATCACAAACTGTTAGAATGGAGAGATTGCGCCAGAGTGTCTAGTCTAGGTTGCCCGGTTTCCTACCTCTATCATCTTGGGCCGGCCTCCAGTACGAACGTTATGTCGGTTGTGGTTGACGGAATTCTCTCTTACGAATCCAGGGTGGGAGATGGCCTTCACCTGGCCTTGAACCTGGAGACATGGAACCTTGAGTACCAGACCTCTCCTCCCTTTCCTCAACCTTAACCAAGGTGGCGCCACTCGTTACGCTTCACCTATCCATTGGACTTCCCATTCACTGTATGTGGCACCCCCTCCACTATCCACCTTAGGTATTTAATGCTGCCCTGGCTGCCCTGGCATCAACTTTTCCCTTCTTCCTGACACCACTTCAAAGTCAAACCGAATATCTCTGATCGACGTTTTACCTCCAAAGATTTTCCAGTCTCCTTGACAGGCTTGTCACGTCTTCCCAAAAATATCAACGGACACTACAATCAACGACCACTATATACCGACTCTTTCTTCGTATTTATCTTTGCGAGTTGTCTTCATCGCTTTATCAACCTCTGCTCGTCATACCTCGAGCTCCCACAAGTCGCCAAGCACGAAGGTAAGCTCAGCAGGGAATGCAATTCCCGATATATTTTTCAAGCAGCTAACCCTCTCTCAAAGGAAATATCCAACATGTGCTTCCCAAATAGCAAATCCACTTTCCTCTGTCTACCAGCCGAGATCCGCTTCATGATCTACCGGGAGATCTGGACTCTCGAGGCTGACGTCGACAGCGACACCGACAGCGACTCTGACAGCAGTTCACTCGCATCTCGATGACAACAAAAATGACCCAGATGCACTCCATCAAGCTCACCAGCAGCTCGAGATGATCACAGCCTTTCAAAACCTAGCCATCACCTGCCGACAGATCCGCGAGGAACTCATCACCGAGTACTTCACTCGCGTTCTCCCCAAGACCCAACTCCACCTGGGCAGTGTCTATCCTCCCCGTCACTCTCTCTACCGCGGCCGTGGCCCGGCTTGTCCTCCTCCCGAGTTCTCGCCTCTAGCCCATACCAACCACAAATCTTTCGAGGTACTCCAGTCCTCGTCGCTTTTCATCGAGCATACTCAGCACGTCAGCATCCACTGGGGTGGCTGTTTGTGCACTGAGGGCTCGATGTATCAATGCCCAATTCGACCTCGCGGCCTGGAATGGCTGGCAGAGTTGGAAGATCTCAGGACAGTGGAGGTTGTTTTTACTGATGAACCGTCATCTTGCAAGAACTGCCTGGCAAAGCTCCTGATGTTGCCAAGGACACTGGAGAAGATCGTGTTTCGGGTGTTTATTAGCGACGTTGTTGCTGAAGCGTATGAGGCGCGGCTGACGGAGTGGTTTTGGGGGCAGAGGCCTGAGTTTTTGGCGTACATGGCGGCAATGGAGGAGGATGAGGAGGTTATTCCTGAGAGGAAGGTGGAGGTATGTTGTTCCTCGCCCACCCTTTATTGGGGGTTTTCTCAGTCTTCTTCAAGCTCCAAATCTTTGGGACTGCTCAGCTAATACGTCGATGTCACTTAGGAATCGGGTTTATACAAGATTGAGCACCACATTGGTGCTGTTGTAGTCGAGTGGCCTTTGTTGGACACAGTTTGATCTCTAGTGGAACATATCTGGAGGTTTTCTGGGGAGAAAATGGGAAAAACTGACGATAGAGGGCGAGTCACTTGTGGTACAAAAGCATGGACGCTATTTTCAGTCAATCGAAAAATCATGTGCTGGTCACACGTCTTAGCATCATGAAGACATGTTCGACAGAAGCCTCATGCAACGATTCAGTGGCGACGTAGAGAGCTTTACTAGGGTGCCTATCCGTTCTGAAGTTGGGATATTATGAGACGCGATTCGAAACGGGATTGAGAGGTAGGGGCACTTAAATTGACTGTACCGTACCTAGGTATTGACTCGGGGCATTGATGTTCAACTTCCAGGGAAATCAGGCATAATCTGTAAGCATACTGCAACATTCATGCCTGCCAGAAGTTGTACACTCTCTATTGGACACCTGAACATCCTGTTCCGCGTCAGGCCGTTGCCTGCCACATGCGAGGGCGTGGCACAAGTCACCACCTGACAACAACACGAATGTCGTCTGATCCAGTTCTCAAACGTCAAAACTGGCAAACGAATCTACTTCTATGGCCCGTTGGAAAACCTTGTTTTACCCCGCGCACTTCTCCTGTGGTCCCTCTTCTACAACACGAAGATTTCCCTGTCAGTTTACTCTCAACACTCTCGAGGCACTCTTTCCTGCGCGGCACTCCGTTATGGCAAACCCTCTCCTCGCCTGGCTCAAGATAACCGCAATAACCGCCTCAAGGACCCAGAACCTGGAAGGTGCAATGGGGCGCATGGATTCTGGTGTAGTCTGCAGTATTTAACTGGTGGTCACAGTGAGGAACCGTTATTCAGCCTGATCAACCAACCCACTCCCTCTGATCCTCTCAATCAACCGTGAGCACCAACGAGCATTGGTTGCAAACCCACCAAAGCAAAAGGGGGAGTTCATCTATCCGAGGCTTTGACATAGTCCATCCACACAACTCGGAGTCATCCAGCTTGGTCCGGAAGTATTGGTATCCCGTCAGACACATCGCAGACGCCGTCAGTCAATACTGCCACAACACATCAGAGCCACGGTATACCTAAAGTTTATCCATCGCGTATTACCAGTAGCTAACCCTCTCGCAGCTATTCAATATGGCATCAAAGCCAAGACCTCCTATCCTCTCTACCCCGCTCGAGATCCGGTACATGATATACCGTTACACTTGGACAATTCCGGTCGACCCCCGAAAGCATTTCGAGCTCGACCCACATTTCGTTAGCTGCTTGAACGGAATTTAGTTCAAGCGCCAGTTTGGACAACTTCACGCTCTGGTTTCAAGCTGTCGACAGATGAGGCAGGAAGTTCTTTGGGAATACTTCGATAGGACCCAGGTATATGTTCGATGGCATGATATTCAATTCGGATTCGGGAGGTTCATCAACACGCCTTGTCCGGTGTTTGACGTCGTAGCCTGCATCCAATCCTCCCGCCTTTTGAGGCATTACACCCACCATGTCAGTCTTCAATGGGAGCCGTGCCTTTGCTCGAGGGACTCTGAGGGAAGACGAACCAACAATTGTCAGCACTGGGACTGGCTGTTGAAATTGGAGCAGCTCAAGACCCTCGAGCTTGTTCTCTTTGAGGGATGGATACGCATAATGGCGTGTATCAGGTCGGATCCCCCCAGGTCAAATCCAGGTGGAAACGCACAAGCTCTCTTCTGTTCTGTCTGCCTTTCCAAGCTCATGAAGCTACGGAATTTGGAGAAGGTCGTCTTCAAAGTGGACTTTGACAATTTTACCCCCCACCGCGGCAGAGAAACAGAAATTAGAGAGATCGAGATGGTTTGCGAGAATAAAGAAACAAGTCTCGGATATGATCTTGAAGGCTCCGAGCCAGGTACGTGCATTTCCATCATTCTTCCTTCCTACCTTACCCTTTTGGTAAATCGTAGGTGAAGTAGACACTGGCTGACAAAACTTTGATGTGTCGATATATTCAGAAAGAGGCACAACCCACGTACTTGATTGAGCAGCACCTTGGTGCCGTCGACACCGAGTGGCCTCGGTCTTTCAAGATTTGACGCTACCTTTGTCCGCCTTCTTTTTTTTCTCTGTTTTTCTTTCCATATACATTTAATTCTATTCTCTTTTCTTCATTTTTATTTCTTATTTTTGCGGGATGCTGACAGCGGGCTAGTCGTCTGTTGCTGTGCCTTTTTAGCTGGCAACATACTAGTGTATGTGCTACACAGGGGCGTATTTCTAGCCTGATAGGCCTCGTATGACCTTGGAAAATGACATGGAGGAAAAAAGTATTCCCGATTCGGTTGAGGTTTATTAGGTTACGTTGACAAGATGACCATAGACAATAGTATGCGCTTGAAGCACAAGTTGTTTCGACAAAGACCCTTTTCCACTTCGCCCTTTTATTGGAAGTTCGTGCCTTCCACTTCGGTTTGTTCCCCTCACCACCATTTCGGCCCAGTTCGGCCATTCTCTACTAGGTGGGCCGCCCTGATTTCTGGTTCTCGTCTTCCCTCCATCTCCCTCACCTTTTTCTCATTTGGTTTCTTTCGTTAATTTCTCTCATTTATTGTTCTGGACCTTGGTCCGATGCGAAGGACGCTACAATAGCCGCCACCAGCGCCGCTATGTCCAGCGTGTGTCCCGCATGTATTCCAGTAAACTAATCCTTCAACTGCACCAGTCTCCAAGCTATTCATGATGACTCTGCAACCAACGAAACCTCTCATTCTTGCTATCCCGCTGGAGGTTCGACACGAGATATACCGCTATACGTGGACGGTCCCCGTCGATTTTAAGAAACACTTAATGAAGCCTTACGCGTACTGTGACCTGTATTATTGGTCGAAAGCCTACCTAGAACTCCAGGTCAAGCAACTTCATACGCTCCTTTCTATCTGTGGACAGATGAGAGACGAGGTCCTCTCAGAATACTTCTACCGAACGCAGGTTCATTTCCGGCACCTTTTCACCTCCGGAAGGATCCATAACTCTCGCGCAAATCACTACATACGGTCCTCTCTTCTCTTTGCGTCCTATACTCAGCACGTCAGCCTTACTTGGATACTACGCCGTCACCCGCCACCTGAATTTCTTCGTGAATTTTCCGAGACTATTGAATGGATGTTGCAGCTGAAGCAGCTCAAGACCGTTGAGCTTTTGCTTGTTGATTCGCAATTGCACACTTTCCACGATTTCCTGGACCAGTTGACGGCCGTCCTAAACGATTTTTGCGCATTCCATATCGTGTTTCAGCTCGGAACAAAGTTGCGCAACCTGGAGAAGATTGTTCTCAAGCTCTATTTCAACAGATGCCGGGTGGAATTGGATGCGGATTTCTTGAAAAGAGCACCTCGGCTTCGGTATTTCAACGACGTTCTTTCAAGGTCGGTACGGGAGGACCTCAGACAAGTATGTTAATACTTCCTTTGAGGCGGCTTACACTCGCTTCTTCCTCCAGTTTTCAAATCAAATACTGACTGGCAACCTGGTGATGCATTTGGTGCTATTTAGCCAGAGCAACAGCCGACTTATGTATTTGACCAGCACTTTGGTGCTGTCAATCTTGATTGGCCTCTGCCGAATAGGATTTGACACCATTTGAATTCGGATTAAAATATTCAACACCGGGATCCCTTTTTTTTAAGTGGAATAGGGTTTCGTTGAAGACCGAAACATGCCAAATCAGACATGAAAAGGCCCAAACCAGTTAACGCGTGGACTCGAGCTAACAAACAAACACATCAGTATCGGACTGTAATCATCAGCCACCCAGCACGCCCGCACAGGTTATGTTGATATCGCAGGTTAGGGTGAAACTGGCAACCCCCATCACTCTTATTATCTTTTTCTTTCCGCTGAACCAGATCAAATCCAACTGAGGCACTCCCTCCTGCAAACAGAGGTTGACTCCTTGTGGAGTGGTGAAACACTTTACACTGCATGCCCTACCCTTTTTCATCTCGACTTTGTTGGTAGTCCGTGCCTGCCACTTCGGTTCGTTCACCTCACCTCACCGGTATTTTTGTCTGGTATATTTGGTTGGGCCCTGTTCCCAGTTTCTTTTCTTCCTCTTCCTCCTCTATCAGAAAAAAAAAAAAAAAGGCCTAAACTAATCGTGGCATTTCTTCCCCTCTCCACACCCCTCACCTTCCCTTTACCTCTTGGTTCTCAGACATTTCGTTTCCTGATCGTCGATCCGTTGCAGAGGCAGCTGCAAAAGCTTTCATCGGGATTCAGTAAAGGTAGGTTTGACATTTGTCTATGTCCAGGGTGTATTTCAAGCAGCTGACCCTCTCAAAGCTGCAGCATTCAACATGAGCTCAGAAGCAAAACCTCCCATCCTCGCTGCTCCGCTTGAGATTCGATTTGAAATATACCGCCATGTGTGGATGATTCCAGACAGCGATCTCCCCAGACTCCTTGAGGCTTGCAGACAACAGAGTGGCCGGGTCCATCTATATCCAGAGATCTACTACTTTAGGCACCAAGTCGAACTACTTAATGCGCTGGTGTCAATCTGTCGGCAGATCCGCGACGAGGTCCTCTCGGAATACTTTCATCAAACTCAAGTTGGCGTTTCCAACTGGCGGGACCATAACCCCATGCTTAAAGAGGTACTACTTCTACCTCTAGATATGCAACACATCCAGTCCTCTCTTCTATTCGTGTCCTATACTCAGCACGTCAGTCTTTTTTGGACTGCAGGTGAATCTGATCTCATGACCAGAGCCCTGGACTGGCTATTGCAGCTGAAGCAACTCAAGACTCTCGAGCTGATTATCAATTGGCCTTCGCGCCATGTGGAGTCAGCTCTCAACGAGATTCTTGACTCCAGTCTCTTTGAGAGACTCACAACCTTGCGCAACCTGGAGAAAATTGTTGTCAAGCTCTATGGTGATTCTTTGGAGGAAACGCCCGAGATCCGGAGGATTGAAGACATCCTCTCGAAGTCGGTCCGGGAGGACCTCAGACAGGTATATTGTACTCCCATGAAGAGGGTTCCTCGATTTTTCTCCCACTCTCTCAAAGACACATGAATGCTTACTGATAATCTCATGTTTTGATACACTATTCAGCCAGAAGAACAACCGACCTACGTATTTAAGCAGCTCATCGGCTTCGATGTCCTCTATTGACGCAATCTCTCTGCCGCATAGGATTCAACGCAACCCTAAAGGTGCCTCATTTCCTTCGGCTCTTCTTGCGAATCAGAGTTGAATTTGCGACGAAAGTCCTCGAAGAGAAGGGATGGTGGACTGGAGGGGGCAGGCTTTCTAAGTCGCACGCTTTTGGGCACTCAACCTTCATTACATCCCTATATTCATTTCGATGATGTCTTTTTCGATCGTATAGTCCCCTATGGCGATCCGAGCGTTTGTCGGTGCATACACATGCAGGTCGTCCCTTTCTGATCGCTGAGAAAGACCAGACAGTCGTGCGATGAATTTGAGTTGATCCGTTAGACGCATATTCAATTTTCTTCTTGTTGAATGAGTCAGTTGGCTGGGTTTCCTCGTCGTGCGGTCGCTACTTTCGTCGTGGTTATTGAGTGATGAATTTCTCAGGTTCCTAAGAGAGCTCGTCGTTGGGGTTTACCTTCAAGAGAGCCGAGGCTAAGGGTTGGGGCTCAGCGTACAATGTAGGGGAATTGACAAGTCGATAAGGACCTGACAATGGCTGGTGGGTGACGAGCACACGGCATGGACAGTATTCCCAGCATCATCCATATCCTCATTCTTTACATCTTGGGGATGGTCGTTCCAAACGAAGAAGATTCTCTCGTTGAGTTCATCTTCTATTCTACTAATTTACCTACCCCCCTCCCCTGCCAGATGATTACAAGCCGAACTTGTAAACCCAACCTCCGCCGCATATTATGATGTGATGGAAACCCCTAAACCTCATGAAGTGTCAGTTTTGCACATTTGGTAGAATATGCTCACCTGCCTACAAATCAGGCAAGAGCTTGCACACAGAATACCATTCAGGACATCGATGAACGTGATCTCCAAAGTCCGTAAGCTTCTCAAGTTCGCCAGCCACTTCAGGGTATTCATCTGTCGCAAGACTCTCTTTTTTTTGCTGCTCGCCGCCGTACCCTAAGGTGGCCATGGCAAACCAGGAAGTTTTTTCTTCGCGCGCTGTTTTTGTCCTCCACCATGTTATCCCAGTCAGCCCAGCCGTACCAGTCATTGATGGGTAGCCAGTTCAGGCGTGCGTACGTGTTGGAGATGCTTCGTGAAAAGGTTGGAGCTTTTGAAGTGCTACATGGAGGCAAGCACGCGCATATCGCTTCACGCCGCCGCCGACGACGACGGCGTAGGTGACGTGCGCTTGGGCTTGGAAAAAGTATTCGGCTATAACCTCGTAACACATGTGACGACAGACGGACGCCAACGCGTGAGTTTGCTTCATGTGGTCGCTGACGGGTTGGCCTTCACGCTGAGCAACGAAGTCGTACTCCTAAGGCATGACGGTCGGAGTCCACAGGTGCTTGTAGATCATCAGCCTGACTTCAACAGGGAGGCGGATGAAGGCCGCATGCTTCGATTGAGCTTCTATTGGTGAGAAGTACTCGTTAGACCATTATTCAAGGCGTAATAGAGGAGTAAAGGTACCTGTCAAGTCCAGGGCGAGCCTTGTAGCTTTGGCTCTTCTCGTCTCGACCATCCTGAAGGAAGTCGGAACGAGAAAAGGGAGAGCGGTCTTTGGTTGGAGAAAGGTAAGCTCGATAGTCGTGATCTGCTTTGATGAGTGTCCAGAGGGAGACCAGAAGACGGCGATTGGTGACGACAAAAGTTTTCAAAAATGACAAAACAGGGACATGCTCCAGAAGGTTGGAATTGAATAGGTACTTGAAAGGCGATCCGGTGAATGGGAGATATGGTTGTGATGCCCAAGGTTGCAGACAGAAAATAAGAGTGAGTGGGAATAACCCCAAGAGCCCCAGAACTCCAGGGTCCTCAGGCCATATCGAAAGTTGCCCCCGTGCAACCTGTAAATCTGGAGTGTCATATCCAACAAATCGTGTTATATAGAATAAACAGGTAAATGTATATATGGAAATAGGGGACCTAGAGATCCGACCACGAGAAAGGACTCCAAGGCCTTTATAACTTGCAGTGCAGTGCCAACAGGTGTCTCGTCCTCCTCTGTGTGGTTGGCAGAAACGTGCGGAATATCAGCTGTGTAGTTTGGGATCATGATTTCTGTGGAAAGCAAACCTACCTAGAGGTAATATCTGGAGATTGATTACCAAATAACAAACATGCCCATAAACCATCGTTGTATACGACATAATAAAATTGGTAAGTATTTGTAGGAAATCTGGATTTTTAACCACCGTGGAACACCAACTTGTCCCACCGTTGTGGTGTGAAAGCAACATCAAATTGCTTCTCGTCTGTTTCCAAATATCAAGATATGCATAACACTCTTCCAAACAACCCTATCCATATCTGTCCAACTCCGATACATCGTTCGTCACATGGAGCCCACTGAGCGGTTCGTTCATTGATCTCAGCACGTTTATCACTATGTGCCGCGATTCAAATGCCATCCCTCTGGTAGGTCCGACTTTAAACGAATCTCATCAGCATCCGGCCAAATCATCGGATCGTTCCAGCCCGTAAACCCATTAGGGCCATGCAGCAGGGCCAAATTTTGCTCAATCGCCTGCGTAATATCTTCAAAATACCAGACACTCTCGTCTCCAGTCTTGTGCCCGTCCTTGTACTCAAATAGTGTGAAAATACTGTTAGACCCGACCTGCACCGTGTCGGACGGATATCCATTCTCGGCCGCGATGGCAGGTGGCGGAGGGATCACGGTAAAGGTGTGCTGAACCGCATGACGGTGGTTCAAGTAGTCTTCCGTCTGCCACAGCCATCCCATGGCCTCGACGACCTGGACGCCCTGTGTGGGGGAGGTCAACAGGCAAACGTGGCTCTTGTACTTTGGCGGAAGCGTGATGCCCTGGACGTCGGCGATCATCATGTTTGTGTTGGCCAGCCAATCAGGCAGCCGCTGGCCGAACTCCATGGTCATGTCCAAAGCGCCGATGAGGCTCTCCCCGTTGTGGGTGAGGAGCCGGCTGGAGTCAGGGATGGCGGCTAGGCCGCGGATGGCCTGATCTATGGGGTCTACGTGTTCCGGCCACCAAGTCTTGGGGAACTGGCCATCGAACAAGATGCGGATGATGGTGTTACCGTCGGTGCAGGCGACGTAGGTGTTGCCTTCGAAGTCGGTCTCAAGGCCGTAACAGCCGCCGATCTTGCTGGTTAAGGCTTTCAGGTTGACCTTCCAGACAAATGCGTTCTTGTATACGTCGTACTTGATGACATAGTTGCCGTCCCAGGCGGCACTGGTTGGATACAGTTTGGGATACTTGATGTCGAAGCTCCCCTTGTTGAACTCGGGACAGTCGGGCCAATCTGGTCTTACTGCTTGCGGAGACTCGTACCTCCGCCGTTTTGTCTGTGCATCTTCCGGCAGACCATTTGACAGGTTTGTAACCTTCAACCCTCCGCCAGTTTCCGAAACAGGACGTCGTTGAGTCGGTACAGCGTATACGCCTAGCGTGGCAGCGGCTGCCAGCATATGGGTGATGAAAGTGCCAAGTTTCATTGTTGGAAATTCGACTGCCGATGGGCTGATCGTTGGCGAGGTGGTCAAGTCGACTTTGTTTTTTTGAGTGAGTAGTAGACGTGGATAAGTGGTATCCAGAACGAGAGTGAAATGGGCTTGACTTTGGAGGTGTGAAGGAGAACAAAAAGAGAAGAAAAGATACGGCAAGGGGAAGGAATAAATACCAGAAATCTCTTCCTGCTGCATTATCCGTCGGTTGGCTAAACCGGATCATGCTGTGTGATCGACAGATGCAATTCTCACACACCGAAGAAGTATGGAAGTCCGCTACATTTATTCATATGACGGCCCGACTGCCAATGTTCGCCGGCGTCGGTTTCTGCAATTCCTCTCGAGTGCCGCATCGATTATGTCGGCTTTTGGTGCGGCGAAGCTTGTCTTTTTGGCGATGTAGGAGGTTGTCCGTACAGCTCTTTGCGTTTTTGCTTCGAATTTATGCAACAGACTCCATTATCTGGCCGTAGTCGTGCATCACTTGGCCAGTGGACGTTGTGGGTGAGGTTGTAAAACAGAAAACACACATCTGTCCGCTTGGGCCGAATTTACCCCTTTTCGGACCTCCGACCTTTCGGCCATGCACTCACATTGCACCAAGCAACCCTTTTTCCCTCCACCCTTACAACTCGTATATCTCCTGCTTCCTACCTTGAAACGGCCTCTCTCCGAGCCGGACCATCGTCCAACGCAACTTCCATCCTCATCCGACATAACCAAAATACAGTCTGGGACGACTGCCTGTAGGCCACTCCATCGATCAATCAAATGATGTGATCCACGATCGCCACCAACATTCCGAATCGGTCTGCCCCCGAACGAAGCACATTCGAATCCCGTTACGCCCTTTAACATCTGGATATAAGTTCCTTCCCCGATCAGAGCGTGCAAGTCCGAAACCTCCGCAGCCTCAGCCAGCACAACCAGATCTTGCGTTCCCCCTCAGATTATCTGGACAATCCACCCGGTTCGTGTGCTGAGAAGAAGGCGTCGCAGGGAATGCCGTACTTGTACTGGAAGACGCGGTTGTGCGAGTTTTTTTTTTGACGTGTCGTCGTGTAGCATTGCTCCTCGCATGGCGAGAATCTCGAAGAAAGGCAGAGGAAACCTATGGAAGCGGAGTGTACCCGCCCATGGCGTCGGTAATAGTTCCTTGGGAGCACATGCCATCATAGTGCGTCGATACCCCCTCGTCATCTCAACGAGTCGAGATTATCGGAAACGATTTCGTGCATGTAGGGTCACTGTTATCCCCGTACAAACCTCAGAGCAAGATCCGGCGGGAGGTCCAGGGTGGCAGATGAACCAAGCAGCCAGCCATGCTTTCACGTCGATGATTACTGCGTAGAGACAGTCGGAACAGCGAGTTATCGCCGTGAGGTTCATGTTGTTCAGAGAAATTGGGCCAGTCATTCTTCGAGGAATGAAATCCGAGTCTGTGTGGGCGCAGGGGGAAGACGACCAAAGTCCTCTAACAATCCCTGGCGGCCGAGGTCGTCGCTACGAGGCCTGATGTAGCAGGGGGACGGAGAGTCGCCAAGTACGTAGGTCCGTAATATGTTGAGTTTGCTGGGGGTGGGCGGACAACTCTAATTGTAGGTATTGTGACTGGTCGAATATAATCGTTATCTAGTGCACGGTATAATCCAATATTACGGGAGTGCCCGTTTGTGAAAGTTAAATCCGAACGGTTTTCTACTGTTCGGAGTTGTAGTACCCTCGCAGGAAGCCTAGTTCGGTCCGTGGAGTCTCGTTCGATAGTTTACACTGATTGCGTACCTTGGGAGGCAGAGGAGGTACCTGAATGGAGGGATCTATTCGCACAGTTACACTACACTACCCTTAGTCCCTTACCCCAATTCCCGGAGATCAAGCCGTGTGGAGTCAAGCTTATAAACAAGTTCGGAGCAGACAGGGGAATTCGGAGATCATTATCCAGTTGCATTGCTACCTCTCCTCTGCTTTTTGCTTGGCAGCCCTGGTAGGCTTTCATGACTCGCACACACACACACACCCCCTCTCTCTGCTTGTTGACTCGTATCGACTCAACCTTTGACTTTTTATAAATTCTGGTTGCTTTTATTTGCTTTGTCGTCTCTCGTGTCTGGGGAGCTTTGAAGTTGAAGGGGTCTTGTTCGTATTGGAGTTCGAATGATCGCCTAGAGGTACCCTTCGAGGGTGCGAGCCCAGTGGTTGCAGCTGTGAGGGGGGGACCCTTTCTTCCAACCCAACTTTTTCCGATTGTGAGACAACCGTACCTCTACATTACTCGTCAGATCTACAAACATATCAAATCGACCGTCCGATTAGTTGCGCGCCAAAGAGGTTTTTAGCTAGTACAAGTCGATGATCCCGACTAGTGGACCGCAACTAGTCAGACGGCCGATATCTAGTCGATCTCACTATGCAGTCTCGACCTGACGAGCAGTCCGTGGGCGGCCCGGTTGAAGAAGATTGGACACGTCGGTGTGTGTGACCACTTCCTATGTCGGCTTAGGGTCTCGAAGCCACTGTGGTTGGAGCGGGGGATCCGCGAATCATCAAAAAGGATGCCAGGTCGCAGTCAAGTTATTGCTTCACATGTCGGGACTTTTCAAAGCCTCTTGTTTTTTTCTCTTGAACTTTGTTGTCAATGTTCCTCGTGTCCCCGGCAAACGTTTCTCTTTCCATCATGAGCAACCCCGTGGATGATGCATCATCTGGTGCTCTCCTCGGAGCTCATTGGACTCAACAAGGACTGCCTGCAGACGACACTGATGATGCAGACTCAACACTTGGTGACGAGATCGAGAGCTCGACCGCTTCCCTCTCGTCCAGCATTTTGAATTATCGCAATATCAATGGCCGAACCTATCACAGCCATGCCGCCATGGATGAAGAATACTGGGCTCCCAATGACCCGAAGCACCTTGAGGCCTTGGACATTTTCTACCACGCCATCGACATGATGCTTGAAGGAAAGCTGCATCAAGCGCCTCTCAGCCAAAACATTGAGAATGCCGTCGATATTGGCACGGGTTCGGGATTGTGGGCCATCGACTTCGCTGATCAGTATACCAACTGCACCGTAATCGGCACCGACATCTCTCCTGTGCAGCCTAGCTGGGTGCCTCCTAATCTCCTCTTCGAGATCGACGATGCCACCAAGGAATGGACCTTTAGGGATGACTATTTCGATTACATCCACATGCAGCTACTAAACGGCGCTTTCGACAGCCTTACCCACATCTATAGTCAAGCGTTCCGGTGCTGCAAGCCCGGTGGCTGGCTCGAGCACGTTGATACTTCAGTCATGGTTACGTCTGATGACGGATCTGTCAAGGAGAATAGTCCGTTGGGTCAGTATGGCAAACTGTTCGAGGCAGCTGGTAACCGGGTCAACCGCATGTCCAGGACCGCCGATTTCACTACAATGGAGGATGCCATGAAGGAGGCAGGCTTTCAAAATATAACGGTCAAGAAGTTCAAGGTAGGTTGTTCCCATTCCTTCCCCTTGGCGAAAAGTACCATCTAGGGACCATTGTCGAGGGAGAAGCTAACTGAAGTTGAAGATACCCATCTCGCCCTGGCCGTCAGACAAGAGGATGAAGGATATTGGCCTTTACGCCTATGCAACCATGACGACCGATGTTGAGGGTATCATACAATTCATGTTCGGTACCATCTTGGGCTGGTCGCAACAGGAAATTGCTGTGTATGCCGATCTTCTGCGTCGGCAGCTCAGGAGGAAGGACGTACATGGATACTATACCTTGAAGGTTGTTTATGGCCAGAAGCCACAGTAGGATAAACAAGAGAAGCTGGGTAACGGAGAGGAGGGGGGCAGATGGGGGCGGATGAGAGCAAATAAGGTGTGCTGCAGAGATCGGTTATATGGAGTTGTGGTGTTGATGTCCAAGTTGAGTCTGGCTACGGCCTTCGGGATTTCGTCGTTTGGTCAAGTATACCCTGGTGGTAGTCGTTCGTACGACATTCCAGCAAGATCTGGGTTTTTTGTCAACTTACTAGGTATGTAGGTGGTAGTATACTTCAATGATTGGAGCGGCTGGACTGCCTGGGATGATATAATAGACCAAGTCAACGCGCGCGAAAGGGAATTGCTCCGTTCGCTATGGCCGCCTTAGGGTACGGTAGGTAGTTAGAAAGAGTCTTGCGCCAGATGGATAACCTGACATAGTTGGCGAGTGTGAAAAGGAGACCTTTAACCCTATATACCTCTATGTACGAAGCGAAGAGTTATCTACAATCCAGTCCTGGTTCGTTTGTTAGTCTGGAACTAAAATGCCAAAGCTTTACTGATTCTCAGAAAGTGTTCTGCGTTCAATCGAGCAAATGCCGTAAGACTCATGGTTTTTAGTCTGGGAGACCTTGGAGAAGGAGAGAGAGGTATAAGAGGCTAAATGTAGGAAGCTGCTATGGTGTTGTGAACCGTTGTCATTGTCCTGCTTGAAGCCCTTTAAACGGAGGATAGTTCCTCTTGCAAACTTGGTGAGAGCTCCTAAGCTCCCTTGTTTAACCCAAAATCAAACTCAAACTAACAAATTGGTAGTTATTGTACACTTGGCGAGGAATGGGCGAGCTGGCAGGGCCAC